GCGATGCTCCAGTGCTGCAGGATGAAGATGCGGCAGCAGCAAGTTCACAGTCTGCTCCTTCTGCCCAGCAGAAAGTCTTGAGTGAGGCTGAGCAGATTGCTTGTAAGCCGGAAGCTGCGTCGCAGTCAGCCTCGGCTCGGATCGATGATGCTGATGACATTGGGGATCTCTTTGGCTCAGTCAAATCGGAGGTAGCGAGTGATGGTGGCAGTGGAGATGGCGAACCATGGTCTGAAGGAGGTGAATCTGAGGAGCTTTGCCGTGATGATGAGGTTTTGATGGATCAGAAAGGGGTGGTGGACACCAAGCCCCGACTGGGCCAGGCACAAAGAAAGAAGAAGAAGGATGATGCGGATGACACATTGGACATGGAATCGATGCAGCCCTTTCTTGGACCAGATGGTCAAGTGGATATGATTCATTTTCTCAGCAACTTGGCGCAACACTACGTGAAGGTTGCCTGTGATGAGCTGGGTGGGAATGAGGCACTGGCTTTTGATGAAAACATTGCTATGGGCTCCCTTTGTTCCGGATCCGGAGCTGGCGAGCTGGCTTTTTCCGCAGCAACTGCTGCTCTGAGCGAGCATTTCATGCGGCCCTTGCAGCCCCACGTGGCATTTTGCTGCGAAAAGGAGTCTTGGAAGCAGGCTTTCTTGCAAAACCATATCACGCAAAACAAATGTTGCATCTTCACTGATGTGGTGCAGCTGGGTGAAGCTCTCAGCGGCCCCTCAGATCTTGACAGCAAAGATACCGAAGGTTTGGGCGAGAAGAAAAAAGATGAAACTGAGGCTGGACAGCCTTGGTGTGAGACGCACAAGAGCCACAGTTGCCATGAAGCCATCAACGACGAGCCGATCTCCATTCTGAAGAGTGGGTTCTCCTGTAAGGGGAATTCTCGCATGAACATCCGATACAGTGAGTACCGAACCTCTTTCCAGCAGGGGGACACAGGGAATTGCAGTGTGAGCACATTCTTTGGAACCTGCGATGTGATATCTGCGACGAAACCATCGGTTGCAATATTAGAGAACGTGGACATGGGTCCTGAAGTCCAAGACTCCAACATGAGCAAAGTCATCAGTGACCTTGAGAGCATCGATGACGGCATGTACAGCGTCAAGGCGTTCCACTTGTCTGCAGACAGCTACATCTTACCGCAGACAAGGACAATTCCGCCGATGACTGTTCGAAGTATGAATATCTAAATATGCATTTCCTTTTGCTGTTATCGTACTACTTACAGCCTTATATAGCTTTAGCCTATAGCATGATGTCACTGGTGCTTCTGCTGTTTGTTCCCTAAGGGGCTTAGGATGATGTTCTGCTCAACGTCTCAGGAGCTTCGGAGAGATACTTGTCCATCATATCGCCAAGAGCTTCCTCCAAAGAGACGTCCGGCTGAGGAGATTGCTTGTGCTCTATCTCCGGCTTGGCTGCTGAATCCTGCATTGCGAAAAGGTTCCAACGAATGTCACACAATGTGTGTTTTCTCAATCCAAAACTTTTGGTTGCAGTCATAGTGAGTCATGGTCCATGTGGTCTGTGTGTGTATGTTTCTGTGAGCACCTCTCACATCCACATTGTATGTCACCCAAGCAGCTACCAAGTCCACGTTGTATCTACCGAACCAATGTGATCAGTAATCGGTTTGTGTTCGTAGAGTCGTGCTGCGCCGCAGTCTAATCAAGACAAATAGTTCACCATCATTATTTTGTGGCATGCACTGTGTGGTTTGTGTATGCTGCATTCTGTATGCTGTATGCATTCTGTATGCTGCATGCTGCATGCTGTCCTGTATCCATTGTCAAACTGAGGGAAACAAACCATAGTCAGGAGTCAGGAGTGTCAAAGCAGCAGGTATGGATTTCAGAAGCTTGTGTGCAAGCACGGGATGCGGATATGACAACTTGGTCTGTGCTTGTGAACTGAGTTTTGCACCGTGCTGTTCCAAAGAAAAATGACCAAATAAAATCAATGTTCGTAACTATGTCTCCTGCGGGGAAACAAGCACTCCCGCTGACGATGGTCGAGCAGGCTCAGGTAGTGAGCCCACAGCCGGGTTATCTTCAGGATTTCCTTTCCGGGACCGCTTCTTTTGCGGTTCTTCGGAAACAGGGCTGGCACTAGGCAGCACCTTGGGCTGTGCCGTGGCCTTTGATGCCGTGGCCTTTGATGCCCTGCCCTTCGCCTTTGGTTCTGGAGGCGGTTTCTCCGCCTTCCTTCGGCCCATGATCGATGGCCGAAGAAGCACGAATTGAAGGTGATCAGATCTGCATGCAATTGACTGAGAGTGGTTCCAATGTCCATCGCCATTTCCTGGCTTGGTGACTCTGAAATAGTTTGCGCTAGCAATATTACGGGAATTGCTAAATCGTAAAAACATGAAATCTCTGCGTCTTCTTCAATTTGTCCCCCTGATGTCGCACCCTACTCCGTTCGACCTGATCAAAAATACCCTGCAAATCAAGGGTTGGCAGCAGAAGGAAACGGTAAATCGGCACATCCCAGCAACAATTCTACCTTCAAGTCCCAAAGCGCAGACTGAACAAGCACATCGATGACATTCACCGATCAGGCCAAACACGGTCCTTGACCTTGGCCAACTAGTTCTATCCAGCAAGTTGAATGTGAAACTGCCTAGCAATCCGAAAGGGGATACAGACAGAAATCGACCCGGCATTGTTTCCCTTCCCATGATGCTTGTGACGTATGTCCGCCAGCACAGAAACAGAAGTCCCACAATCTGCCAGTTTCAGGCTGACTGGGCGGTAAGGTGACTGTGATTTTCATGTCACCACCAGGCTCAGAACTTCAAGTAAACAAAACCAAGAATCATCCCCGCTGCTGCACGTTGCTTCTGCCTGGAGCTCACAAAAACAAACTTGACAGGTGTCAGCTTGAGTCGTGCAGCGAGTCATAGACTCATAGAGTCGTACATTTGGGTAGCAAGTGGTCGTGGGCAGGCAAGTGCGTGGTGCTGCAGGGAATCACAACGCAAGCACTAGCTATTCTGCTGTCAGTTGCTACTTACCAACCAGTTACCAAAAAACAAAATCTGAAAGCGGAATTTCTGTCAGGGGTCAAGAATCTGAGAAGATATCTGGTTCATGCACCATGGACCGAGTTTTCCGAAACCAAATCAGAGACTAGACCAGTCCACATTCGACACCGGCTAGTACTGGTACAACGAAGCGGTGGGCCAGCACCCCAGACGTGGCGCCCCGCTACCTTCTCAAATGCTCATCGGCATCTGTAGAGAAGTGTCATAGAAACTCTGCCAATCTATGATCTAAGATCTAGGAACAGGAACTCTTACTCATGCTGCTACGGAGCTTGCTGGTGAGGCCAATTCAATTTCTATCGGCTGGTTGCTGTTTTACATGTGGAAAGTTTCAGATTGTTCTTGCTGAAGCAATGAACGACGGATGAATCAGAATAACAAAACGACGAAATTTCAAGCGCCAAAGACCTGCAGAAACAAACCTGGTTCGTATTAGCGGCCCACCAGCAGCTCTCAGCGCGTCCTAACTTGAAACCCCCACTTTCGCTCACTCTGGGGGCGTCTGCCCTGCCTTTGCCAATTGATCCGCGCATCTTTGCAGCAAGTCATCCGGCAAGTTGACACCATTCGTCTTCACCCCGGTAAGAGCGAACTGCAAATCTTTGGCAATGTTGGCCTGTCTGCTTTCCTTCTTGGAAACGGTCTCTTTGCAAACACTCTTCCAGACCGGGCTTTCCAGTACTGAGAGGATAGTGAAGACATACACAAATTTCCTTCCAGACATCAAAGAATCCTGCACCTTCTTCGTGTCAGTCTCGATGCCGGCAAGACAGCCACAGCACTTCTCCACCGCATCAAGGAATGCTTTCACCTTGCTAACCAGCTTGGACGCATCCTCTACGCATTTCGAACCAAGAACCTTTTTGACCTCACTCTCCACATCAGCCTTGTACTCGGGCAACTGTAGCTTGTCCATCTCTTCAACAATTGTCTCTGCTTGCTGCTGGACCTTTTCTTGAAGGGTCTTTGTCCATGCCACCAGTGAATCTTCCAAACTGCCGAAGAGATTTGCAAAAGTGTCAGCATCGAGGCCTTGGTGCTGAAATGCGCCAACCAACTTGTCCTTGGAAAATTGAGGGTCGTGGATCGCCAGCTTGAGGGCTTTCAGTGCCTTGAACATTGATGCTGCAGGCTCCTGTGGGTTCGTTGACAATTTCCAAGGGCCTTTCTTTTCGCCCTCCATGATAGTCATACCTCAAGGGTGGTTGGTTGCTATTCAGCATTGGTCCATCTGTCTCTATCGGCCCGCCTACCTACCTACCTCTATAGACGCATATGTACGTATGCAGTATGCAGGACATAATCAGATGTGTATAGATATGTTATGTTATTGTTGCTCGCAGTGATTTTATTGATTTCTGCTTGGCTGCCCTGCAGACGGAGACTAAAGTGAGTCAACGCGGAAGACTCGGAAGAGACAAGACAAGCCATTGAGCTGAGCACTGATTGCAGATTAAGGCTAATCGGCGTTAGCATTAATGAAAACTTGTGGGGATAGAATCAATCAGTTTAAGTTCTAAACAAAAGCTCACCGCACGCAAACACACAAAAATTAAAAATAATGTCGCCCAGCCGCTGTTGAAAACACAGATGCGAAAGGTCTCTGCAGCGTGGGCGAACTCCTTCATCTCCGATTTGTCCTGCTCAGAGAACATGTCCGCAGTGCCAAGACGCTGGAAGTCTTCGATGTTGGTTTTGAACGCTCCCCACTTCTCAGATGTTGTCGGCGGCGCATTGTCTATCACATCCTTGATCACCGAAATCATGTTGTTTTTGATGCTGACGCATTTGTTCTGGAAACCCTCTTGCATTTTGAGAAAGAACTGCTCTCTGAAATCCGCAAGCGCGCTTTGCAACAACTGTGAAGAGGAGAGTCCATCCAAGTCATTCTGGCACTGGGACCAAACAAGCATCAGCGCGTGCGACTTCTCCAATGTCATCTCCCCATCTGCATGGCCATGGGAAATATCAAAAGCCCCACAACACTGCATGAGCTGGTCATGGCTCCTGCAATGGGCTGGTCTGCCACTATTGGGCGCGAATTTTATCAGCATTAACATTCTCAACAACGACTTCAAATAAATACATCAAGCCTTGTTCCTAAGTCAAAACATGAATCCTGGAGAATAGGCACCAAGGAAGTGAATCATGAATCATGAGTCATGAGGTTAAATTTGAAATATAATATAAGCTTTAAACTCACCTTAATGATTTTGAGACCATTGTGTCGTAGCAACCGGTCAGGCTTTAATGTCTTTCCCCGCCCGGGCAGCTCTCCTGAAGACTGCATGGTCTGGAACGATTTTCCGCAGATGAACAACTGACCATTCCGGCTTTTTGAGGCATGCCATCTTGTTGGTGGCGTGGACAACCTGGGACTGAATGAAGGGCGCAAGGTCATTGGACGTGTGAAGGGTGATGAGCTTCTCACACAAAGCTTTCACCTGCAGCTCCAACTTTTCGACGTTTGGAAACTCTTGCTTTCCAGCCAGCTGAACCCGCAGGTTCGCCAAACGATCCCAAACATTTCCCACTTCCTCAGCGGACAGGTCTGAAGCCTTCGACTCCATGTCTTTGACGTTGCAGGTAACTTGCTCCAACTCTACCAGATGTTCTTCGGAAGCCAATCTTTTCTTGGCAGCCGCTTGGGCTTGCTCCACCAAAGATGACCCCTGCGGTAGAAGTACCATTGCGTAGAAAAGCTTTGACTCCGGCTTGGCCTGTAGAACTTCACCTGCTGCTGACAACACAGCGTTTGGAAGAAGAGTCTTGTCATCATGAGCAAAAATGAGCTGCAACTTGTTGAACTGAACCTGGAACTCAGGAGGCAAGTCAAGCTGGTCCTTTGCCACAATGGCGTCCACAAAACGTCTGATGGAAGTAACCCATGGAGATCCAAAGCGCACCTGTGTCTGCGGCATTGCCCGCAAAAGTTTTTGCAGGACTTGCTCGAGGATGAGGCACAGCTGTGCTTGGAAGTAGTCTGCATCCTCACAGCTAGCTTTGGACTGGAACTGAGTAATCGCATCTGCAAGCTCATCAAACTTGCCAAACTTGACGAAGTCCATGACCTCTGCCTTGAGCAACTTCATCTTGCTGACCCTGCCGCAGTCAAAGCCTTGTTGGGAAGCAAGATTGATCAAGTTGCCCAGCTCGTCTGCTTTAGGAGCGACAGAGGACAGCTGAGTGAACAGACCCTGCAATGTGGAGGCAGCTGCGTTGATGTCTTTCGCCTTCTCGAGCATAGCCGAATTCTCGCCAGAATTCTTTCTGCGTTTCATCTGGGCAATCTTCTGGGATGCCTGTGCGCTCAAATCCTGGCACTTTGGAAGATGTGCTTGGCAAAAAGTATGCAAATCCTTCTCAGATGCCAATTGCTGCATGTCTGACTTGGCCAGTTCCGCCAAACTTTCTTCAGCTTCAGATAGAAAAGTCTCATCTGCCTGGTGAACTGCTGAAGCACTTTGCCGCCCTTTGACTTTGGCTTTCTTGCTTGGCTCCTCTTCGCCCGCACTGGCGGCATTGGCTCTTTTCCCTGTCCCAGCACTGGTGGAAGCAGGCACGGCCCGCAACTGCTGGAAAAGATGTGCAGCCCCTGCAGATTTCTTTTCCTCATGTCGTTGGCTCTCCTGCACGGGCTTGGCTTTGGGCTTTGCACCGGCTTTTGCTTTCGGCTTGGCTTTGGCGGCTCCGCTGCCTCCAAACATTGTAAGCAATCTTGAAGACAGCCCACTGCAATCATCCTCATCATCATCACCGTCATCTGCTGGATCTGAAGGTCTCGGTTTTGCCTTTGCTTTGGCACTTTGCGCAGTCTTGTCTTTGTTGGGCAACGACCTGCTCGGATCACTCCCGGACGCAGAGCTCTTGAAGAACATCATCAGTCCAGCGCCGCTGCCCGGATCACAAGTACCCAGCACAAAGTCTGTCGGGGCATCGGTGGGTGCCTCCAAAAGATGTTTCGTTGCAGATTCGTAAAGCTGCTCAGCCTGGTTTTCCCGGAGCTCCACATCGTCAAGCAAGCAGGTTTCCAACTCCACACTGTTTCGCTGCTTCTTGTTCAGCCTGAACATGCCGCGGTCCTCTTCTTTCACCACCATGACTCCGGTGACAGGGCGGCCTCGGAAAATCTTTGTTACCTCAGCGGAATTGAAACGACGGAAGTCAAACACATAAAGTTAAATCACCTCAAACAATATACATCGCCATCATCTAGTCACATGGTTCAGTTGTCAAGCGTGCATGGAAGGGCTCAAAAGATGAACACATGAAGCATAACACATCAGCATGCATATGATTGGTCGTTTCACACGCCACGGATTTCGAACACTCTGCAAGCCCATGTGCATCAACGGTGCAATTTTGTTCTTGGGCGCTGGTCCATGTTTCTCCTCGTAAATGTCCAACCTCATCAAGTATTCAATTTCACCATCCATCTCATCTTCCTGCAAGGAACGGCACGGTCTCTCTTTGTGGTATTCAGAGTTTCAAGAGTCAGTCTGACTCATGACTCATGGCTCATCACTCATGACTCATGAGTCATGACATGGGTGTCATAGAGTTGAAAAGTTAAATTTTGAATGCCTACATCTTGCAACAGTTATAATGTTATAGTGATAGACTTATAGCTACAACATCTTATAATCAGAACCAAACATTTCGTGATGTGGTGGGATCCGCGGAACCCCCAGCAAATTCCACAGAAGGCTGCTTGTGTGTTCCAACCCTGATGCAACCACGTCTGTCAATGTCTGTCCTGCGTCTGCTTCAATGCCATACGGCGTTTTGGTACCAGGTCATGCTTTCCGCTGATCTGCATGGCAGGGTTCTCTACCTTCATCTCCACAGTCTTGGCACGGGCAGCCATAAACTCTTGGTGGAGGGACGGGCTTTTGTGGATTGCCTCACAGTAAGACTGAATGGTGTTGTACTGGTCAGAGAAACTTCCACGGACATACACGTGCTTGCACAGCCTACCAAAGGGTCGCAGGATCTGTACAAGGAGGTTGGGATAAAGGCTCAGCTGTCACCATTGAAAATTGTAGAAATCAAGAATGCCTATCTGGTTAAGTGGATATGATTAGCGAAATGAAATGAAGCCGCCACACCCTGTTTGTTCAAGAACACCTGCCTGCAAAAGACGCCTGAGGGAGCAACCCGGGTGCCATTCCCCCAAGCTATCAAGTCACCCCATGCGGCCGTCTCTTGATATTCTGCCTTGTGCAACGATGACTTGGCACACAAACGGCAATACTTGATGCGGTAGCTTTCTGGCAAGCCGAGCTTGTCACGGATCTCATCTGAAGCAAGTTCAGGCCTGGAACAGGAGGCCCCACTTTCAGATGGCGGAGGGCCATCCTCCTCAGCAGCCTGCTGCAAGCCTCCAGACTGCTTGATCTTCTTGGGCATTGTCACGACTCCAGCAGGCAAGCGATCGAATTGCGGCCAGTGGTCCCAAGCCCGAAAAAAAAAAGAACAACAATAATAATTTAGAGAAATAGTCTGATTGAAACCTTGGTTGAAATGAAATCAGTGAAATCCAGGCATAGTAGACATGCTTTGAGGAGTCTCTGTTACACTCATATTTGACAGCATAGCTCAGCCAAATGCTTCACAAATACCAGCACACGGTCAGCACAGAGCGGTCAACTTTCCCCGTGTTGTTGCTAAAGGTTTTGTCAAAATGTATGTATCAGTAACTGCATAAGTGCAAACAATTGTGTACCTTTACGCTCTCATATGTGTTTTGTTTGCGGGGTCTATGCGTCACACATGCGCGCAGTTTATGTAAGCCAACCCGTAAGGCCTTATTTTGCCAAAATAAGGCCTTATTTTGGGTCTGACGTAAACTGTGTCGCAAACACCGCGCAAAAAAAACACAAAAAAAAATAGCCTCAGCACAAGTTCCGCGCAAAACAGACATATGTGTGGTTTTGCGTTGCATATGCGCACTGTTTGCGCATTGCTTGCGTATCGTTTGCGTTCTGTTTACGTAACTGTTTACGTAAGGCACAAAATAAGGCCTTATTTTGTGCAAAATGCACAAAATAAGGCCTTATTTTTCTGACGACGTAAAAAAAACACAAAAAAAAACATAAACTATGCACAAGTGCACGCATAAATGCGACATAATTGAAACATAAAACGCTTTTATGTTTGTGTTATGTTTTGCTTTGCGTTTCCTTAATGAACCAGTTGCGTTTTTTTTGTGATTAACTTGCGTTGCGTTTGCATAATCATTTGCGTCAAGCCACAAATAAGGCCTTATTTTTGGAAAATAAGGTCTTACCGCGGGGCTTACATAAAAGGCGCGCTGTCAAGTCACAAAGCGGTCGCATAAAATTCAGAAATCAGATGTGCAACGGCCAAAAAAGCTACACCTGCTCACTGCGCATTGCTCTTGATGCAAGTGTATGCAGTTGCATGACAAAACCAGCTGCAAACAGAAGTGTGAAACAAGCTGCTGGCTGCAGTGAGTTCTACACTTGCCTTTTTTTGCAAACGTTTCTCTCTGGTGTTTCCCTCAGAGCCTTTCCCGATCTCTGAAAGTTGAGAGACCCCCTGTGGATCCTAAAGTTCGCAAGGTTCAAGCGAATAGGGTAAAATCCAAACACCTGGAGACCCAAGTTGCTTGCGCTTGCCAATGTCCTGTCTTTTGAAGAAGTGATGTCTCCCCTTCACATTGTCAATCTCCACCGCGCAATGATCTCTCCGTCGCGTCTGCATGAATCCACCTCAGATCGAAGACCAGTAGAGCCGGAAAACTCCTGCAAATAACCAGAAAGGTAAATTCTTGAAGCCACTGCTGCCCCTTGCTGTTCCTATACGGAACCTAAGCCGTGTATTGGATACCATCACCGTAAACCAAGCATACAATATCAATATCGTTTTTCGAATTTGACCTATCCAACTTGTTGTCAGGCATTTTGACAACACAGCAACACCAAAACTCGGCTGAGAAGCATGCTCATATGCTTGGACCCTTCAGATCGCAGGGTGTCTTTGCCCATCAAAAGCCATCTCAACATTACACTATCAGGCCTGTCACTTGGCAGCTGGCTAAACCGCTTGATCACAGAGCACTTGGCATGACGGCGGCAATTCGCACTGAGAGCGTGCTTGTTGGTGTTCTGGTGCAACTGGGTCAGCCGACCTTGGCTTCTACGGCAGCTGTGTGATAAAAGATCTGCTGAAACCTGAATCCGCTTATCCCGCATCCCATCCTTTTGCAGGCCCAAATTTTAGTCAAAAAACCCAAAGGACCCGGAATGGTTTGAATCCAGTCCGAACAGAAGACATTTACAGAAGAGCACCTGCGTCAAACAGTTAAACAGAATCGGCAAAATGCGCTATGAAATGGGCAACGTTCATGAGCCATGAATTGTCAGTTGTGAATAGTTATGACTTATCTTATGACTCATGACATGACAATGAGTGATGATGAGTCATGTGAATTAAACGGTGGCACTTCCCCACTGCCGAAATGGAACCCGCATGGTCACAAGCAAGCCACCTAGCCATTCACCTGTTTCAGCGCATTGGACCCAGCCGGCTGCATCCACTGTCACAAGGGATGCAGGTTCAGGTTCAAGTTGTTGTTGAAGATGTGCGCTGCTAGAACTTGAAGAGCTTGCTGGGGCAACACCAGGCGCAGGGTTCTCAAGATTGGCAGCATACAGCCAATTGACGTCGGTCTCGGAAGGCTCCTTTTCTGCAGGCAGTTCGTCATCACCTGGGCATGGCGAGCAAAGGCAGGCGAAAACAATCTAGAAGGCAGACCCGACTATCTGGCCACGCACATACGGCATGGGCGTATGGCATGACTACTTCACATCACACCAGCTCAAGCAGCCATAATTTCGAAGTCAAAACGCGGCAGTCATCGTCAAACAGCAAAACTTATACTGTTACAGATACTCAAAAACTTAAAACTTAACCTGCACGCTTTGGGCTTTGGCGTCTTTGGCGTCTTTGGCATGCTAGATCGTATACCATCCTTTCATCATGGGGTTTGACAAACATGTTTGTCACGAAGCTCGCAATCACAATCACACTGTCACGGTCTCACAAAACAAAACCAAAACTCTCTGGGCTCGTCGCCGTCGCCGCCATCGTCGTCGTCCTCCTCGTCGTCATCGTCATCATCATCATCATCATCATGAATCATGATGATCATCATCATGAAAGCCGCCCTCAGGATGACAGGTGACTAATCAGTAGACTATACTGCTTACTGTGTGTGCGCACGCGCGCGCTACAAGCCCACATGTGCAAAATAGGTTGGCAGCAGCAGCAGCAGCAGCAGCACCCGCGGCGGCGGCGGCACCATCATCATCATCTTCTTCTTCTTCTTCATCATCATCATCACCATCACCATCATCATCATCATCGTCATCATCATCATCAGATCATCAGATCATCAGATCATCACCATCATGATCATCATCAGCATCATCATTATCATCAGATCATCATCGTCGGATCATCATCAGATCATCATCAGATCATCATCGTCGGATCATCATCAGATCATCATCAGATCATCGTCAGATCATCCTCATCATCATCATCATCATCATCAACAACAACAACAACAACAACATCGTCATCGTCATCGTCATCGTCATCACCACCATCAGCATGATCATCATCACCATTAAGGTCATCAATCATCACCATCATCATCACTACTTTGATCTCCATCATCAGCATCGCTCCCTAACCCGCAGCATCATGACAGACTATGGATCAGGAGATGTGACGGCAAGTCACAAGGCACAGCCGCTGAAGTTTCTCTCTTAATCTGGTTTCGCTTTGGTGCCTGCTTTGATGACCTTGGTGTTTCCCGATGCCTTGGCTCATCGGTGCGTTGACGGTTCGTCCTCGGCTTCTTCGGGCCTGCAGATTGACCCCTCAACAAGGCCATGCATTTGGAAATATTTTCGTGGGTGGGGTCATCACCACCATCATCGCCAGAACTGTCATCGGAACATTCATCGGGGTTCACTGGCAATGCATTGTCATCTGCACCCATTCCAAAAGTAGCTTCCGCATCGCCAATGTACAAGGCATTCAAGGCTGTAACCTCATAGGTGGACGTGACTCTCAGTCTCAATCCCTCAAAACCTCGGTGCCTAAAGGAATAAGCAAATTGGTGCATGGTTTGGAGGGTAGGCACGGTCATGGAAGCCATGGATCCAGAGAGATCCGGGTGAACAGTGTGGTCCAAAGTGACTGAAAAGGCCCTGGGGCACATCACACGCGAGCAGTCGCCAGAGTTGCCAGCTTCTGTAATCGTGCATTCCCACAAGCAAAGGTCAAGGGGGTTCAAACTTGCCTGACATAGCAAGTACGCCTTAGGGAACCCATCAGGACAAACGGTTGATCCATCTTTCACTTGGGCAAGCAGGAGCACGAAAGAGGGGTGATGGTCACA